CACACACACACACACACACACACACACACACACACACACACACACACTTTAAAAAGAAAACTCTCCAAACAGAAAAAAAAGTGGGATGTTTGGTTGTTTTGCTTTTTGTTTTTTAATGACAGGGTCTCACTGTGTGGCTGAGGCTATCCTGAAAACTCACAATCCTCCTCTTCCTCCCAAATCCTGGGGTTACAGGCATATGCACCATGCCCAGCTAGACACTTTCAGCTTTCTCACTAAACAAAACTTTTATCCCCAAGAAATAAGGTCCTGTATGCAAAGGCACAAACTATTCTTATGAATTTTGCCAAGAAAAAACACAGAATCAAAAATAGTCAAGCTCTTTGTAAATGGAAATGATGCAAATAAAGTTTTCAACAACAATAAAAAAATTCAATAATGACTGAACAACTGAGCAGAATCATTCATGTACTGTAACACAAGAACCAGACCTCAACTTACACCACTCAGACTTTCTGAAACAGGGGTATAGGCTGTGTCACATGTACCTGTCAGAAAACAAACTTACCAAGGAATTCTTAATCACTTCACTTCTATAAAATTCTGGAAAAAAGAAGAAAAAGAACAATAAGTGATACGAAAGAAAACAAGCTCACTAACCAAGCCCTGTAAAACTTGACGATACGTTCTAGTAAGGCTTCTAAAAGACCTAAGGGATCTGGTCCCGCTGTTATTATTTTTCTTCTTTGGTTTTTGTTGTTGTTGTTATTTTGGTTTTTCAAGACAGGGTTTCTCTGTGTAGCCCTGGCTGTCCTGGAACTCTATCTGTAGACCAGGCTGGCCTTGAACTCAGAGATCCACCTGGCTCTGCCTCCCGAGTACTGGGATTAAAGGGGTGTGCCACTACTGCCTGGAAAAATCTTTTTTTTTAATTTGGATGAGTTAGGAGAGGCCCTCTATTATCTTTATCAATAAAAACAAATATAGAAACAAAGATTAAATGGAAGTGACCTAAAGGGGGAAAACATCGGTGAAGCAGATTACAAATTTTTCAGATTTAATTTCATAATTGTTACCTGTCTCCTTTTGCAGCACACTCTAATTTAAGCCCTTAAAAATTCTTCTTTTCCCATTTCCATTCATTTCTTCTCACATGTGCACAGTAAGCATGCACATACATGTGTATGGTCATGTAGGGCCTGAGGCTGAGGTCAGGAGCATTCTACTATTCTCTTTAAGGCAGGCTGTCTCAAACTCCTAGCTCCTCAACACAGCTAGTGTGGCCCGCCAGATTCCATGTCTGCCTTCTGAGGCTGGACCACATGTGGACTGCCACACTCACCTAGCATCCACATGGGTCCTAGGGATTCAAATCCCAGTTTCCTCTCATCTGGGCAGCAGGAACTTTTGTGGCTGAGTCATCTTCCCAACCCCCCCTTCTACTCTTTATGGGGGATACTTTCTGCTCTTCCTCAAGCACCTCTAAAGCACTTCCTCACAGTTGTACAGAATGATCTAGAAACCAAGTAGCCTGAGCTTGACTTCTACTTGTCTCTAACATTCCATCTCTTCAACTTCTTCAGGTCCAGTCTCAACTTGGAAAATTCGGATAACTGAAGTTCTTCTGAAAGCATTAAAAGTTCATGATTCCACAAACCTTCATATATATTAGTAAATGTTACAAAATCCAAAAACAAAATAAAAATGAGTGAGAGGTTCTGACAGACCTTCCCAACAACCCTCCAGTGTTCCCCAGCCACCTGCCCAAGTCACCTCCATGCCACTGCCAACGCAGAGCCTGGGGACTCTGAGTTCCCTGCTACCACAGGGCAGGATTTCCCAAGTGTGATGCATGCACCACAGTACTTGAGATGATCTTGGGTGACACACGGACAAACGTGTTTCTGCTGGTTGAAATATATGCCTTGCCCATCCTATTTGTAGCTGTAGACCCATAATAACAGTGCTCGCATCCTACAACTACCTCCTCCTTGTCACTTAGAACTGTCCCTGGCACAGGGGCAGAACACAACAAATTTTGTTTTGATGAATGAACAATCGCATCCCCAGGTATTCACGTGTGAGGTGCTTCGAGGAATAGAAAAGTGAACCTCTTCCGGCAAGCTCTTGTCCTTAAGGCATTTTCGTTTTGGTTTGGTTTTGGTTTTTCGAGACAGGGTTTCTCTCTGTAGTCCTGGCCGTCCTGGAACTCACTCTGTAGACCAGGCTGGCCTCGAACTCACAGAGACCTGCCTGCCTCTGCTGGGGGCAATGGCATTTCTTAGCAGACAGGCTACCTGCATTACTTTATCCTCATCTTCCAAACAAAAGATCATTTTTACTTTATGTTTTGAGAACAATTCACAATACATTAAGTGAAAGACCAGGTTCTGAGAGAGGTTCAACAAGATCCAATTCTTCTAATTAAGCTAACAGTTTTCTTCTTAGCTTACAGGTTTAGGTTACTTACATTCACTAGCTGAATGGTAGTTTCATTTTTTTATTATGAATAACTGTTTGAAATAAGAAAATTCTATGTTTCTAAAGGGAACATCCTGAAGTTGCTATGAATTTTAGCATCTTTCAAATAATGCTAGAAATTATTTAAAAGACTGCTTAACAGTCTTTTAAAGATGTATAGCATAAACTGTGTGGCTTTAGAACAAACCATTAAAACAAAATTGTGAGATCTAAGAACATGTAGGGTCTACCATAGATAATGACAAGTCACTCTGTACTGGCTGGGTTTGTGTTCCAACTTGACACAAGCTAGAGTCATCAGAGATGACAGAGCCTCAGCTGAGGAAATGCCTTGATAAGATCCAGCTGTAAGGCATTTTCTCAATTAGTGATCAATGGGAGAGGGCCCAGCCCATGGTGGGTGGTGCCATCCCCGGATAGTGTCCATGGTGCTCTAAGAAAACAGGCTGAGCAAGCCAGGGGAAGGAAGCCAGTAAGCAGCACCCCTCCATGGCCCCTGCATAAGCTCCTGCTCCCAGGCTCCTGCCCTGTCTGAGTTCCTGTTCTGTCTGACTTCCTCCAATCATAGACTATGATCCGGAAGTGTAAGGCAAATAAACCCTTTCCTCCTCAACTGATTTTTGGGCACAGCAACAAGAAGCCCTAACTAAGACATACTCTCTAACTAAAGTGTACAATTTCTTCAATTAGGGTAACACTTATTTCCCCGGTGCCATACAACTTCACCCTTTTCATTCATTTTCAAACGTTTAATCAATCACTACAACCACTTATCACACGACTGTAAGTATATATGTTCATATATTTTAGTTCTTAAAAAAAAAAAGGAATGATTTAGCTTCCTCTGCAAAGTATCTGAATCAGGCAGTTCTCACAACACATCTCTCCACTTCTGAGAGAGGACCAGGACTATTTCTTCCTCACTGTTGAGTGGCTGACTGCGTGAATAAACCACACAATTTGCCATCTCCATTAATGCTCCAAACTGCACCGGCTGACTGAAAGGACTCAGCTCAACAGAAGGGCCAGATTCTGTGAAGAGACCCGAGGGTGTGAGCTGACCTCTAGCACACCAAGCCTGACCTGTACCACCATCCTGTTACATCTACATAACAGAATGGCAACAGGGGGTGAACAGAATGAATGCAGAATTTTGAGAATAAAATTAAACATGTTCAGCCCTCAATCTCTCATGTGTAAGATTAATAACCTACACGGGTCAGTCATTGTCTCATTATCTTCCTAAAAAGAATAGCACCCAGGAGATAAAAAGGTTGTTATGAGGTTCAAATAAAATACTAGATTAAAAACACCTTGTGAGTCATTATGTGTATTAATAAACTTCTACTCATTTTATTCTTTCCATTTGAATAAAGTCATATGCCAAGTAGATCCTCAAAGCATCCTATCAGAGCCTTATGTCCACATGAGCCAATGTATGCAAGAGCTTTTCTAGACAGTCATGCCCACACCTAAAGGACCAGACAGCCATGCCCACACCTAAAGGACCGGACAGCCATGTCCACACCTAAAGGACCGGACAGCCATGCCCACACCTAAAGGACCGGACAGCCACATCCACACCTAAAGGACCAGACAGCCACACCCACACCTAAAGGACCGGACAGCCATGCCCACACCTAAAGGACCGGACAGCCACACCCACACCTAAAGGACAGGACAGCCACACCCACACCTAAAGGACCGGACAGCCA